AAAAAAGAAATATCCAGGAAAGGCAAATGTATTACAGAGAAGAAAGTAGGTTAGCGGTGGCCTGGGGCAGAGTGTGGGCATGGGAGTAACAATAAATGGCATGATGGATCTGACTGGGGTTTCGAAAATGTCCTAAAACTCATTTACACTGGTAGTTGTACAACTTGTTAAATTTACTAAAAATTGCTGAACTGTATACTTCAATGAGTGAACTTCAATACAATTATACGACCATCTCAAAGCTATAGCATAAGACAAGTGACAAGAAACAACAAAGGAAGGCCGCTAGGACCAGTGACTTCAAAGCCAACGAGCACAAGAACTGCCTTTCTGCAGCAATGACACTTTGGAAGAAGCCAACGACTGCAGCCAGTTCCTGGGAAGCATCCAGAGGGTCACACAAGCAAAGGGACAGTTCCAAGAGCAGCGGCCTGTGCCTCTGAGGCGCGCTTCCATGCTGGCCAGTGATGCTCTAACTGCAGCAGGGCTGGAAGGGCTGGATCAGGGCTGCAGGCTCTGGCACCTGCCTGAGAACCACAAACCCACTCCATTCCCAGAGGGAATGACTGACACTCCTGCTCCTTTCCCACTCCCCTGCTGGGGAGCAGAGGGACTGCTCTGAATGGGAGACTGGTCAGCCCAGCCTCTTGCTCACTCACTGTTTTCCTTCCCTGAGGCTGGTGTGCCTGCAAAGAGAGGTGACTTCCCACTGCGTCCTCCTTCTCCCAGCGGTGAGCTCACCTGAGCAGCGCTAGCTCTGCCCTCAACTCTGTCCCTGCCTGGGGGAGAGGTAGTGCAGTAGGTGCTCTTCCTATGGCTGGGTTGGTAAATGCAATTCCTGAGGTGAGTTACAGGAAGCTCCATTTGGGGCTTGCGTGCCACGCTGCGATTGCTAATGCATCTCTACCTGCACTAAATAAACACTGCCCTTGAATTCCTACCTGACTCTGAGTCTACTTCTTAATTGGCTCAGATTAGGAGGTAGAGGTGTGTGTGACCCACCACCAAGTCAGTCACTCACCGCTGTCCTCTGCGACCTGCCACACCTGCAGGTAACAACCTGGAAGGCCACTGGTCACAAGCAACCTATTCAGAATGGAGAGGAAATCTCAGTCTCAACAGCGGGGAGCTCACCCACATACCCACCCACACCCAGCTTTCCCCCTCTCCAGCCCACGCAGCTTAGGGTTCCTACACGCCCCCCACCTCAGGAAAGCTTACTGCAGGAAGGCATCATCCAGACCAGTCACCCTCATGTCACAGGAGGAGCAGGCTCACTCCGCCTCAGGGACAGGCCCACAGCTTGTAGAGGGTCATGGGCCTGAGCCCAGGATTCCATGTGGCGTGACATGTCCTAGAAAGGACAGCAGCATGGAGCCGGAACACACAGCCCTGACCCAGAGACTCTCAGCCTCTGCCAGCCGAGCTACAGCCCCGGCCACCCACACCCACCTTCAGCTCTGAGATACTAAGAGCACGCTTCTACTCTCTATCTATTCTCTGGAACGCTCCAGAGATCTGTGAGTTACAGTAGTCAAAAGGTCTCTGAGGGACCACGATGCCACCGAGCAACAGTCTTTGTATTCCAGATGTGTGTGTGTGTGTGCCCACATGTGCCCGGGTAGGGGAGGAGGCAAAATACCCCTGACATTTCCAGTCACTCATCCCTGAATGGAAGGTCAGGGTCACAGAGCTAACCATACCTGGTATCTGGCACGTGCTTCAGATCAAAGACAGCCCTGTTGGAAAATCCTCCGTGGCATACCTTGAAATCTCTTTCTGGGAATAAGCCCTGAAATACAAAAGGGTGGCCGGTCAGATAGAGCCCACTCTCCACAGGAGTGTTTCAGATGAGCTCTAGGTAAGAAGCCAGATCCCAGCCAGGCAGGAAGCCATGGAAGCTGCTCTGCTGGCAGCAGATGCTTCTCTCTGCAGGGCCTCAGTGTGCTGTGATTTGTCAGTGTGGGTCTCAGCTGCCTATGTGGACAGTTTCCTTTCTCTCCTGCATCCAAAACCCTTCTCCTAACCTTCCACCAGCCCCCTTCACTCTAGCACAAGCATTGTACTCCAGGCCTTCTTAGAGGAGTGACAGGCTTAACAGCTTCATCAAAGAAAGCGGCAATGTACTAGCCAACTAACACATCCCCATTTCTCCTGCCACCTCCCAGTGAAAGTTAGGTGGGTTCGTCTAGCAATTAAAATATAGCTACCTAGTCTAATACCAGCGTTTACTGTATCAGGCACTGTGTTTAGTGCTTTATCTATTTTATCATGCTGAATTCTTAAGACCAGCCTGTGACACAGGTACTATAGTTATCCCTATGCTAAAATAACAAAACTAAGGCAGAAAGCTTTAGCCACTTTTCTAAGAGCATAGATGGATTTCATGTGAATTTGAACCCAAGTCTGTCTACCAAGTCCATGGTCTTAGCCACTGGGCTCTACAATCTCCATGTGAGGAAACACAGGCAGCGGGGAGTGGCACAAGAGGACAGAGGAAAAGCCAGTGGTGAGGTGGCAGGTAAATCAGGTCTCTCCTCAAGGCTCAGTCTGGGACAGCTACTGGGTCAAGCTCTAGGGGGGAGGAGGGGATGGGGACATGAGCGCATTAATTCGGTAGGAAATTTCCCCCAGGGCAACAGGGACAGGGCTGCCCTATCAGATGAATCAGAATGATTTTATAGCAACATCAGGCAGCTACCAACTCTTTTCTTTTTGACACGTTCTCTTCTCTTGGCTTCTTGAATACTGATCTTTTCTGAGACTCCTACTTCAAAGAGTATTCCTGGTGGGTTAATCTTCCTCCACCCATTCCTTAAATGTATTCCTTGAGCCATCTTCTCCTCTTATTCCTTACACACTACACATTCATCCTAGGTAATCTTAACCATCCCAAGGGCTTCAACCTCCCTCAATACCCTTCGGCTCCCTAAAAAAAAAAAAATAAATAAATAAATATATATATATATATATATATATATATATATATATATTTTAATTAGTTTCAGGTGTACAAAACAATGCAATAGTTATCCTTCTCACCCCTTACAAAGTGACAATCCTCCTCCCCACATCCACTGTCCCCCTACCCCCGATATCATACATCTCTATTACAATTCCATTGACTCTCCCTAAACCTATTTTTGATAAAGTAAAATTGACCTCTTCCTCCAGGAGCCCTCTGTAAAACATGGGACATTCCCTAGCACTTATCTCTGTGCATATCTGCCTCCCTCTATTAGACTATAAGGGCAGACCCAGTGCTTGTCCCCCCCACCCCCATGCCCCCAAATTAGACACATATACTCAGCATTTATCCTTTAAGTTACCTGGTTTTCCTTTACAGAAAGTCTGAGAGGTAACACCAGATGAAGAATCTCATTTTTTTTCAGGCTTTCGTAGCCAGCAACAAAAATTCCTGTTAAAAGAAACAGTAGGAGCTGTGACAAACTGCTAGAAAGATTCTGGACCATAATGGGCCTAGAAACTCCACCAAACACTCCAAAGCAAAGACACCATTGACACTAGTATTCATGCAGCCTTGCACTGGGGGATGGAAGAAATCTAGAACCTAATAAGAGGAATGTAAGTGCTGACAGGGTGCAGAATTGCTATGAGTGATGTAGAGACCCTCAGGCTCCCAGGAGAGTGGGTTGGGTCCCTCTGGGCTGAGCTCCTGAGTACGGAATCCCCATATCCTCACCTTTGTCATCAATCCATTCAAGGACTCGAGTGGCTCCTGAGAGGTCGAATGCATGGAAATCCTGGTACCTGCATGACAGGGACACAATGTCACATGGTGCATGGCACTTTACAGCTGTTAAAGAACTCTGAGAGGGCTGCATGGTTCAGTGGTTGGGGGAACCAGGCTCTGGAGTCAGAGAAGCCAAGTATCAAGTCTTGTTGCACATTTTGCTCCCTGTGTGACCAAGCCAGTCACAATTTCCCTGAGCCTCGGTCCTCATGTGTAAAATGAAACTCCCATAGTTCCCAAGGGTGATGGGAGAAATCCATGAGATAACCTGTGTTCAGGGTTCAACTCAGAGGTTGGCGCAAAGTAATCGGTCACTTACTATTAATACCCTCCACAGCACTGCTCTCACTAGTACCAAACACAACTTGCGCACCCAAGCTCATGCCATTTCCCAGACGCGGGAGCCGAGGCCTCCGCAGAGCTCTCCGCATGGCCCCGACCCGCAGCCTGCGCTGCCCCAGCCCACACCAGGATTGCCTACGTGCACCACCTCGAGCCCGGCCGCCCGCCACGCCAGCTCCAGGGCCGCCTCTCCTAGCCCAGGCCCACACGACTTACAAGCGCAAGGATTCCACCAGCCAGTCCTCCGCAGCTTCCATGGCAACTGTCGCTTCCCATACCCCACTTCCGTTTCGGAACCTTCCGGGGCGGGAGCCGCCCTCTCGCGAGAAGTGGGCGCGGCCTGCTCTGACCCGAAAGGCGGGGCCTCAAGTCAGGGGGCGGGGCCTCAAGTTGCTAGACTGCCGCTAGCAACTGCCGCTACCAACGCAGTGTGCCTTTACCCTGCTAGGTTCAGGGTTCTCCGAGCTTCTGCCCGGATTCAGGGATTCCAAGGATGTCAGCTCTGGGGGAGGGCTGAAGGACCAAGTACCGCCGCCCGTTTTACGACCTGATAAGATACAGGATGCCCGGTTAAATGTGAATTTTAGATAAACAACACTTTTTTCTTATAGGTGTGTCCATACATTAGGACATCTTACACAAGAAATGATTCAGTTTATCTGAAATTGGAATTTAGTTGGGTGTCCTGCATTTCTATTTGCTAACTCTGGCAATCCTATCTAAGGCCAGAGAAGAGAGTAAGAGGATAGTGGGGTCTGGATCCGAGCTGGGCCCTCCCCTTGAGGCTTGGCATGAGGATGAAATGAATGGGAAAGCAAAGCCCCAAGGTCCAGTAGTGTAGACACAAGACTTGCCCCTGCCAGTAAGTGGCAGAGGGGAGAGTAGAACCCCCTGCCTAGCAGAGGACCTGGCATACAGCAGGTGTCGAATACCTGCTTGCTGAATGAGCGAATGACTAGGAGTTCTGAGTCAGTGCCAGGCCTACCTCACTGAACACCAGGTCCTCCAGCCGCCTTTCCCCTCCCATCTCCTTAGACACGCTGGAAGAAGAGGACCAGACATTCTATGTAAAGGACAGGATTTTATTCACAACTTCAACAGGGAAGCAAGAAATACAGCAGGAACGTAACTTGTGTCTGCATTGGTGATATTCCTGGCAACCCCACCAGAAATCACAGTAATGGAGTAACAGAGATTTGAGCCCAGGATTTACATCCAGATGGGGCCACTACCAGGGTCCCATTCAGCACCTTCCTTGGGGGAGGGCACAATCTAAGCCACGTTGTCGTGTCTTCCTCATAAATGTCATCACTTCTGCAGCATTTGCACCAGCAGCCTCCTGTACTGAAGGGGAACACACAGAGGAATTGACCTGGGCAGAGAGGGAAAATGATTGGGGCCTCCTGCCATTCCTAAGTGCTTAGACATCTGCAGAGGTAGGCAGGAGTAGGCTCTCAGCTAAAGCAGGCCCCCCAGCACCTTTGTTCCTGAAGAGGGGCCTGAGAGGGGTCGGGGCAGCGGTTTTCTCATAGTAACAGCCCAACCTCACAGAGTGGTCATATGACAGTCAAAGGAGATCATGGAAGTAAAATCTAAGTGTGGTGCCTGGCCCTCGGCCAGTGTCAGTGATGTCAGTCCCCACTCCCAGCTATCCCCCAGACCTCACTTCTGGGGCCCACCCCCCAGAGCGAGGTACTGCTTCATCTGAGTCTCTAGCTGGTCTGAACATTTCAGGCCTTCAAGACCAATGGCCCCAGAGGTAACAGTGTCTCCCTTCAGACTCAGCCAGCCCTAGCTCCGCCCTTACCTCTGAGGTTCCCCAGGAGCTGATGGTTCTGTGCATCAGGAAGATCAGGAAGGTTAACTGCGGTTGGACCTTCTCTATGGCATGGCCCTCCCTTCTTTCAAAATGTACGCACTATATGCTAGGCTCAGGGTGGGGTACAAAAGTGAGTCAGCAACAAGCGCTGCTAGGGAGCTCACAGACTGTAACAGCGCCCATTGACTAAGCACTTTCTATGCTCCTGGCATCATGCTGAACATGTGACATAAAGGGTCTCATTTAAGGGGAGATGGGCACTATTATCCCCAATTTATTGATAAGGAAAATGAGGCTTAAGAGAGGTTAAGTGACATTTCTAAGGCCACATGTCTACTAAGTGGCTAGGTTTTAAGTGTAGCACACTGTCACCAGAACCCACATTCTACATCACACTACCTTCTGCAAACAGCAAAAAAGTACCAGGAAAGGTGGTGTAAGACAGGGAAAGCACCAGGAACAGGGAATGGAGGACCTGCCCCTCTACCAGGCTAGGGACTACAGCTGGCTTGGCTCTAGCTCTGGGGCCTTGAAAGGGTGATTTTAACTCCCACCCTGTCCCCTCACCAGAGCACCTGTGCCAATGTCTGGAGGCACTTTTGGTTGTCACAGTTGGGGAGGTCAAGGGATGCTCTAGCAGATAGAGATTAGGGATGCTGCTAAACTTCCTACAATGCACAAGACTGCCCCCACAACGAAGAATTACCCAGCCCAGAATGTCAAGAGTGCTGAGGTGGAAAAAGCCTGCCACAGGTCACTGAGGCAGATAACAGACTTGGAAGAGCACCAGTCAAGGTGAACAAGGTCGAACTCTGTCTCGGCTGCTAACTGACTCTTCTCTTGCCTTCTCTGGGCCTCAGCATCCCAACTCGAACAACAAGCATATACAGTCCACGGCAAGGGTGGACAGCTGGAGTGGGGGCAAACAAGTCTGTGTGGGCTGTGGAGGGAAGATCCAGCTGCAAGAGGCTGGATAATCCTAGGCTGTGACTCTAGACTGGGCAGTCGGTGAGGGGGAGCTTTCCCCCTTACTTCTTGCTTTGTGGGGTTTGCTGGGAAGGTCAGTTTTTTTTTCTTTGGAGTCCTCTTCCTCTGACCTTTGGATCACAGGGAGAGCCTAGAATCCCTGGATTTCAGGCCCATCATGCCCTGGCCGGGCAGTCACACCCTAAGCTCAATGCTGGACCCAGGGGCAGCCTGGCTGAGCCTCTCCTGGGCCTGATGTGGAGGCCTGGCTCACCTGGGTGTGAGGTGCTGGGCCGATGAGCCTCGTGCCCAGAGCTTTCTTTAGCAGGAGGTTCCTGAGCAGATCATGACTCAGCTGTGATCTCTGGTCCCTCAGGGAGATGTGGGGAGCTATCCCCAATAGCGACGGGCTGGGGGGCTCCAGACTCTTCTTGCCCATGAAGTGACCTAGGAAGGAGGTGCAGGGGCACAAGGAAATCAGGGAGCAAGAATCCTATCCCAGTGGGAAAGCTCCCCAACTTTCCCACCTGTCAGTTCTCATGGCAGGAATATTCGCAACAATCCTCATCCCCCTCCTCCTCACCAAGGAGCCATAAAGACCCCTGGATGGTGGCAGAGCCTATACCTCAACTTTTTCTCAACAGCTGAGAAGGGTGGGATGGGCCAGGGCCCGGGAGAAACTGCCAGTTGTACTGCCTGCTTAGAAGAGGGATGGGATGGGAAAGGGCAGGGAAGGAAGTGGAGATGAGGAGGAATCTGGAAAGTGGCGGTGCAGTGAGAAGGCACACAGGTTAAAAGGTCAGCAGGGTCTTGCTTGAGGAAAACGGCACCAGCTGGCAGGCAGATGTAGGATCCAGCCCCAGCTCTGCTTAAAATGGATGCGTGATCTTAGTGAAGTCACTGACCTGTCTGAGTCTCAAGTTCCCCATCTATTAAATTAGATGAGTTCCAGGGTCCCCACCAGCCCGGACACTACTGTCTGTGGCTGAGGGACGGCCGGAGAAGGGAAATGGGGTGAGAGCAAGGTGTGGGGCGCTTGCAGGGTCCCGAAGACTTACCGGTGGCCCACAGGTTGCCCCGCGGGTGCACTCGGATCTTGCTGGCCAGGCTGCGGGGGTCCGGGAGATCCCAGCTGAGCCGGGCGGCACTGGCAGTGAGCATGGCGAAGAGCAAGAGGCCACCGATCCAACGAGCGCCCCGCGCCCGCAGGGCCATAGCTGTGCCGGAACCGCGCCTCTCCCACTGCTGCACGCGTCTCCAGCGCCAGCCCAGCCAGCTTTTAAACCCGCGCTCCTAGGGGAGGAGCCTGCCCGAGGAGCCCGCCCCTGGCGCCCCCGCCCTCACAGAACCCTCCTGGCTCCATCATCCCTTTCACCCTTTCTCGGGAGTTTTGGTCAGGACGCCCACAACCTGCAAGCTCGCACTCCTCTCCTCTGCCCCTCGTGGGCACCGCTTCTGTAGGGGCATTCCCGAGCCAACCACCTTCAGACTTCCGTGCTTTGGGCTAACAAGGGGTTACTTCGCCTGAGCCTCCCTTTATTAGGGCAAAAGTGGGGGCGAGGATGCCTCCTCCAGTGTCACACCGGGCGTTAGGGCCCAGCCAAGTGCCAGGCGCCAGAGGGGATCCCTTCCTCTTGGGGACTCTGACCAGTCTCACTGCCAGAACTCACCAGGTAACCTAGAAATCACATCAGGAGCTAGGGATGGGAAAGCAGAATGATGGATGGTGGGATAAGGAGAAAACACACACACACACACACACACACACACACACTCGCTGGGGAGAGCCTGGCCTATCATTTGGGCAGGAGGCAGATTTCTGAGTCAGGAGAGTGAGCACTGGACCAGGAGTTCGTACACAAGCTGTGTGACATCCTCAACCTTCACTTTCTTCAACTATAAGATGAGAATAACCACACTGCCCTATTTTTAATACTTTTACATTTTTTAGCACAGTTTCTTTTTGTGTGGCAGGAAGCGGTAGTCCTATAGGACTGCCCTCTCACACTTGGCACTGCCTCCTCCCAAGGAGCCATCCAGGCTTGTTCTGGAACAAACTTTTGGGTCAGTGGCATCACTTCCTGAGTAGGGGAAGACGCTATGCTCCGGAAGAATACATATGCTTTAACTTAAATGCTTACTAAACACCAATGTTCAGAGCACTGTGCTGGACACTGAAGGAGGGGAGACAAAAGATAATTCCTGGCTCCCAAGGGAGTTTACCGTCTCATCGGAGAGATGGAGGAGCGGGGTGCAGACGAACCCCCGGATTCTGGACGGTCCCCTGAAACACTGCAGTGTGGCAGTGACAGAACCTGCTCGGTAATGGTACTGCTGTTGGGCCTGCTGCTCTGTGGATCACCACCACAAAGAGGAGGTGTGTACAAGAAGCTGCTTGTCAGGCCGAGCTCCCAGGAGAGCGACACACAGGACACGGGCATTCCATTTCCAGCCCTGGCTTTCCCCCCAATCTCCTTATCACCCCCCACCCTGGCATTTTCACCTCTCCGCATTCTTGTCACTGCTTAGCCATGGTGTACAGATATAGCTCTTATCACCTTCCCATAATAGTCACCCGCTTTTCCACCCCCTCCCTTTCCTCTGCGTTAGTCACACACCCATCCTATCTTCTCTGGTCCACGGATGTAGTAACTGGTGGGAACACACCGGAGCTGGCATTGAGTGCTGCCTCACTTAAATGCTTGAAGGAACCTTATCTGGTAAGTTTATCTCTCATTTTATAGCTGGAAACAGGCTCAGAGAACCCACTTGCCCAGATATCACACTGGAATCAGACTTCAGGTCTCTTCAGGCCACTCTGTCAGGGTCCCAAAGTCATACAGGGCAGATGCTGCTTTTCCTGAACCACACCCACTCCGTTTTACCATCCCAAGTTTAAATAACAAGTTGGCTTAGATTTCCCAGGGGGAGAGGGAGCAGGCACTGATTTAGTTTCACCTCTCTTCTGCAGGTGCCCCTGGGATTCTGCTCTGACAGTTTCATTTATACTTAAGCCAAACCTCTGACACAGCCTGGGTTCACAGCTCCAACCACAGCTCCGAGAATGACCCCAGATGCCCCTGGGATCATTCTGTCAGCCTAGCACAGGAAAAAGGGGCCTCTGAGGACCGTGGAGGGAGAAGCAGGTCAGCAGCTCCACAGCCAGCTGTGAAACAGCCTCCGGAACGAGAAGCAGAAGGCCAGCAGAGAGGGTGGCTCGACCAAGACAGGACTTCCGTGGGATCTCCCGGGAGTACCAGGCTCTGGGTTTAACTTAAGGACCTCAGCTGCCAACTGCTTGTTCCCCCAAGTCCACTGAGATGGCAAAGGAAGGCCAAGGGCCTCCCCCACCCCCCCAGGAAGACCGACAGTGAATCACATGGGGAAGCTCTTCAGAGTTTCTACAACATTCAAGGATATCCACGGAAAACGCAGGGAGATTCACAGGACAATCCAAAAGATGAATAAGGTGGGAAAGATGCATGGCAAATCTCGTTATCACCATACCAACAGAATATTTAAACTGCACCAAGGTTTTGAATCAAAGGATGTATATTACTGTTTGCTGTATTTCCATTAAATTGGAATCTGTTACAAGCAACGCCTTTCACAACCGAATCTCTGTTGTTTTCCAAAAGCACCTGCATGCCCCTTTGATCACCCACGCTATTCTGAGGTAGTAAAGGCTAGTAGTATGCTCATTTTATAGAAGAGTTAACTCAAGTCCAAGCACGTTAATTGCAGAGAAACTAAACAAACGGAGAAAACCAGAGTGTAGACTTCAAACACATGAAAGGTATTGAGGGCAACAGAGAAAGTGAAAGCAGAAATTTAACTGAGACAGAAATGAGTCTAGTAAAATGAAATGACAAACGCGGAGCTGCTGCTCAGGTTAGTAACATCACTCCCCTGGCAAACCTCTAAGCACAGATCCCCACCTCTGCGAGCTGGGGAGACAACGAGAAACATCCTGGGGTATCTCAGGGCCTGCTCTTTAGTTTCAGAATGGGGAAGGGGCTTCAGGATCAGAAAAACAGCAGAATCTTTAAGAGAGGCGGAAGGGAGAATCAGGGATATTTGATACTATTTCCCAAAGTTGATTGCCAAAATATAAATTTTTAAGGCAATATTCATAAAAAGAGAAACTACCTGCATCTAATGAGAAAATGATGAAAAAATGATGACAGTGACTGAGAAAGCTAAGCAGCTGCTGCTCAACGAAATGGCACAGATGCTCAGGGAAGTTGTGCAAACCTAAGGAAGTGAGAAGCCCCGGGCACAGCCTGCATAATTATTTGGGTGTAATAGTCATGTATTTCCGGGATCATTTCAGTAGCTGAAATAAATACTCTTTAAACTTCAAAGAGGTTTAAATGCTTGGAAATTTGCCTGAGAATCTCACTATTTCTAGATTGACTAATCTGAGCAAATCCAGGGAAGAACCACCTAGAACCTCTACAGAAGAAATCCCAAGGGCCTTACCATTGTGGGGTTTATTCCAAGTAAGAGTCTCATTAGACTAGAAAGGTAGAAGGACTGGTTATGACACCCAGCACTGTGATATGATAAAAGCGACTGACTTTGAGTTATGGCTCTGCCATCTATGAACCAGAAGATGCTGGGCAAATCTCCTAGCTTCTGGTTTCTCTCTTTTGTAAAATGGAGTTTGTTTTGAGGACTGAGGGAAAATAAAACTCTGTTACACTCAGAAGTACTTAGCACAGCACATGGCAATTCTAAGTGCTCAGTATCATCAGCAGGATCCTGGGAAAAGCAAAGCCTGTTATAAACCTGAAGCCCACTGCAGGGGAAAAAAAGAGGTTGCCTGGGTAGCAGCTCAGGCCCTGGTGGTGAAATAACAGCCAACAAAGTGTCTGTTACATCTTGGGCAGCTTGAGGAACTTTTGGATTGTCGGAAAAGTCATGACGCATTTTTTGCAACGAAAAACATAGAAAAAATACGTCATGACTTTTCTGACAACCCAATAAAATGCTAGCATATCTCCCTCAGCTTTAGACCAATTCCAAGAAATGAGTTCTCTACAGGGTTCTCTTTTCTTCACTTAAATAAGTTGTCAGGAGGACAGCTGTGATCAAACTTACTTGCCTGATGTAGTGCAGAGTACAAATCCTTTTAACTAGACCCCTTGAATTAAAGCTGGAATCCAGCTTCCTGATCTAAGCAAACTGGCCAATTAAAGAGTTCAAGAGAAATGATTCTTACTCTAGAGGAGGCGGTGTTTCAGGCTCTCCTAAGACTGGCAGAACAAGAACCTATAGTTTGAAAGTCACGTTCAATATAATAACGTAACTATATCTGAGAGCTGAGTAACCACTGTTTTTATAATACAAACTTAAGAGAAAGCAAGATAAAATATTCTCGGCTGGTGAGGATAAGAGATTGGATATGACAGACCTGAGAGGGACTGCGTCAGAATGGAGAAGAGGCACGAAATTTTTATGTTTCTTAAAAGAGGTCATGAATTTTAAAAAGATTAGGAAACATTCTCTTACCGGAAAGCTAGCTGAAGGCTCCTGGTCTTCTGGGAGGAGTCTCTGCAGAAGTTACCAAGCTCTACCTACACGAAAGCACTTTCTCTGACCCAGCTCTGTGACAATCGTTAGGCTAACCCACACAGGGCTTAATGCATAATATCACACAGCACCCCAGCAGTGAGATCCCAGGAGGGAAATTTCTTGGTCATCAGTATCATTACCAGATTAAAAAAAAAATTTCTATTATGCGCATTCCATAAAGGACAGAAATCATTGTTTCCCTCTTTTCATTAACCCCTAAGGAGCTGAGAACCAATGTTTACAGATCTCCTCCAGCAAACAACAGAATCTCTTGATGTGTCTTAGCACTCCTTTTTTCATCCCTTTCTCCTCCCACACTTTCAATTATTTGCTACCTTATCACATAGTGCGAGATGTACCTTTATGAGCCACTCCAAACCCCTTTCAGAACAAGGCAGGGTATAAATAACTCTAAAATGTGCAAAGCGCTGTGACAGGGACTCGGAATCAAAGGCTGGCCTCGCCTTGATGCCTTCAAGGAGCTGCTGGGGGAGCGGGACACACATCACACAAAGCACTCTGGGCGCCATGTCCCAGGGAAGCACGAACAAGGTCCGGGCAGCATTGAGCAGGAAGCACTGGACACTCAAGCGCTTAGTGGAGAATAAAAACACTCCTCCTTTGAGTTCCCTGTGCATCTAGCATTGCTTTTAGGATCCTCGGCAAAAAAAAAAAAAAATCTGTTTACACGTTGCCCCTGCTAAGGCAGTGAATTACTGGCAGAGGAGGGACCTGCCTTACTCATCTTTGTGTCCCCAGGGCCTAGCTCACAATCTGGCACAGAGTAGATGCCCAACAAATATCTGCAAAATGAGAAAGCTTTCAGCAGGCAGAGCGGTGAGCGGGCACTCCAGGCAGAGCAACCAGCATAAGCAAAGACTGGATGTCTGTACAGTGAGACCAATGTCAAGGGTACCAGAATGTAGGGTCTGCTGAGGCTGGAAAACATCCTGAGGGCCTGGATGACTCCATGACTCTTGGAAGGCAATGGCCTCACCATTTTTTGATAATCCCCAAATATTCTAGTCTCTCACACTTGGTTACACAGAATTCTTTCTTCATCCAGACTCACCATAGCTGTATGCAGAGGGTCCTGTTAGTTGTTTTATTTCTAAAAGTCTATTTGGTATTGCTCACAGTCTAGTAAGGGACAATAGTGACAGATAATACCTGGCCGGAATATAGCCTGAGGAGGAGTCCCGACTGAAGAGCATCTTTGGGAGGTGGACAATCCATTTAGCCGACACGATCAGCTGCGTCATTTCTGAAGCTCAACAGAGAGATGCATCTAAGAAGGCTGCCCTCAGATGCTGCCAGTCCTCCCACCATGTTCTGAGGGGTCGCCTGGACTTGGTAACACACTTCTGCAAGTGACTCAAGGATAACAGAGCCATTATTCCAGGCCTTTGCTTTCTGAGAAGCCTGTGACTCCCTAAGAAAAGTGACAAACACCAATACTTCTCCTATTGAGAAAGAGAGCACAGAACGAGTCCATGGACACATATGCAAAATAAGAAAACAGGATGAACACCAAAAATTCTAGAAAGGGAACATGCTGTTTAAATGGAACCATGGAGAAAGTTTTCAGATTCAGATTTGGCAAGACCAAGATAATGTACTAAGTAAATAACAGGAAAGTACAAATGGCTTTAATGATTCATATGCTCTGCCCCAGAATAACAGCTGAACAATAACAATGCCCTCTGGTTCCAACACATTGTCATACTTAATACTCAGTATATGCTGCTCGATGCTACAGGGACAACCGAGTGCAGCACCTCTAAAACGGAGCTCCCTCATGGGGGAACATGAGGCCATATACATAAACTTAGACAAATAGCATAAGGCTGCATATGCTAAGTGACAGAGGAGGAACAATTACTTCGTGAAGAAAGCGAGACTCAGGCAAGCAGAAACGAGAGGAATGGAAACAGTGGTACAGCACAAGGATGCTTAATGTTCGCTGAAGTCCAAGTGTGAACTTCACATGCAAGTGATATGTAGGGTAAACACAAAATTTAGGGTCCAAAGAGAGACATCTTAGAGTAAAAGGGGTACTGAAATTAATTAACGGGGAAATAAGCTAACATAGGTACAGATAGCATGCTGAAAAAATTAACAATGGGAAATTATCCAGAATAGGTACAGATAGCATGCTACCAGAAACCAGGGACAGTCACCCAACAACAGGAAGCCACTAAATATGCCCCTGGGGTCAGGTGATGATGGCAATGAGAACAGAACGATGAGGGTAAATGGAGGACTCATAAGTGACTAAATATGACGGGAAAATGAAAAGTCTAGGTGAACACTCCCTCAAAAACAGGTGAAATTTGGAGGGGAAGTTTGCAGAAACTACTAGAGGCTAAGTTTAAAGATGGGCCAATCAAGGGCCGGCTGAGTGGTGCGTTGGTTAAGAGCTGGCTTGGGACGCCAGAGGGCCCCGGTTCAGATCCCATATATGAGGGCCAGTGACACTGCCTTCTACAGCTAAGATGCTGAACAACAGCTCAACTTGGAGCTGGGCTGCCGTGAGTTGCCGGCGACAGGCATAGACTGCAGCCCCTGCTGCAGCGGGTTTCCATTGGCTACTGTGTGTGGCCGGCAGCCAGCGTGAGCGTCCAGCAGCCGCAGTGAGCGGCTGTCCAGAAGCCGGCGACTGATCTGCCTCGCCTGGGAAGAGCGCAATGATGGTGCCAACTTGGGCCAGTGAAGCGACGTCCTCCACAACTAGACTGAAGAACAAAAGGACAGCAACTTGTCTGTTCCCCTCCCCCCAATTCCCCAATGAAAATCTTTAAAAAAAAAAAGAAGATGGGCCAATCAAGTGGAAGTGTTTAGTGGGAATAGAGACACGGAACTAGAACTGAGGACTGGCATTTGAAAATAACGTGTAGAGACTTAACAGTTGGAGGAATGAGAGTGGGTGAGTAGCAGCCAAGAGTCAATCCCATTACCAATTTCTCATTTGAAGTTTTATCAATTCTTATTCTTTTTGATTCCCTTCACTCACAATGGCTAAGCCTTTCCAGATCTCAGAGAGCCTTTAATTCCATTAAGACACCAAATTAAACATCCCTGGCGTTTCTTACATTTTCAAACAGCTTTTAAAATATATTATATTTACTAAAACAGCCTCCCAGTTTTAAAAGTCTTATGTTTTAGCACTAAACTAGACAATATTAAACTGGGAATATAACACCTGTCCCCACAAATAACCTTTTTTATTTTAAATAGAGCAATGCAAATATTTTTACATGATTTGATAACTTTTCAGAGTAATTTAGCTGTTACTTCCAATTAGAGCATCCAGCAAAGGAGGAAAAACAACAATTTCACAAAACTGAGTGTGAAAATATGCAAGTGAGGAAAATATTAATGTTTCCCTCCCAGTAAGTATAGAAGGAGGAGAAAGCTGGATAGCTGAGAACACAGGACAAGGCAGTTTACAATCCGGTGAGCTGGGGTCAACAAAGGTCACTGGGGTCCCACCACTTCTCCCCAGAGGAGTCCCAGGAAGGCTGGCCCAAAAACAGCCAAGGCACCGATGCCGTCGAGCAATCAACCCCATCCTGTGTAGGCGGTTAGGGGGAAAAATGGAGTAAGTAGCACTCTTTTGCCATACCATATACGGGGGCATTTCAGCACTCTCCTTGGCTCCTGAGAGAATGGAAGCACTATCTAAGCCACACAGACAGGTTCAAGGAAGCACTTGTCAGCAGTGATCTGCCAAGTTGCATCCTCTATTGGGGTCATTAAGAGCACATATCCAAAGCCTGAAGGCTAAAGCCTTGTTAATGGATTTAGGAGGCACTACTCTGCACAGGGGAGGCCTTCAGAAGATGAATTGTCCCCATTCTCATTCCATTAGCATTAAAGTATGAACTGATTTCCACCTCAGTTCATGAACAAATAATAGAAATTGTGCATTTTGCCCAACACAGAAAACTTGCCTACTTTGAGGTTTCATATGAGTACAAGAGAACAGACAGAATTAAGACCACTTTGTACTTAAAACATATCACCTTACTCTACTTTCCCCATCCCCCTAACTGGCTCAATCGCAAAAGGAAATCACGCCCGGCTTTGCACTCACTACTGGAAACTTTGCCTCCTGAAGTCTGAAGACAGGTCCAGACAAACTGGAGTTTAAAGCAAACAAGCAGCATGCTTGCCTTCCAGCACTTCCACGTGCCTCCTCCAGCTGAAACACGCTGCCTTCGTGTAGACAGGGCTGAGAAGTCTCAAGTGTAGAAAAGGTTATGAGTCTGTACAGCAAAGTGACATTTTCTGAACCTCTCAGCAGCACCAGCTGGGTTTATACACATTGGGGTCACACCCTAGTCAAGAATCAAGTTTAGGACTAAGAGATTTCCTATGACTGTCAATGGCTACTTTGGCTTCACAAAATCAAAGCAAGAACAAATAAACCCCAAAACAGTGGGAGTGTTAGGACAATCTTGTAGCTGAAGGATTGTTCCCACCAAAGCCTTCACTCCCCCAGGGGCACTAAGAGCCAGCACAGGAAGGCAGATGCAGAACTTTCCCGACAAACACAAGTCAGGGATAAGGGGTTCAATATGCAAAGTCTTTTATTTAAAATTTTGCAAAGTTAAGACTTCGGACCACCTCAGTATATGCCATTCCCATTATAAGGAGGAATGACGCTTCAAGCTCGTGCAGAGCGAGCTGCGTGTTCATTTACAGCACTCTGTAGGCACTTTAGAAGTGAAGCGTGGCTTCAAAGTACAAACACTGGGGGCTTTGGCTCAACCTTTTAATATAAAAAAGTCACGAATGTACAAAAATGCGAAAGTGTGACAATGACAACATATGAAATCCTGTGATTGAAAGTCCCCTCGGGTGCACGCGGTGGTGCACACACACCCGCCCACATAGACTCTGGCGTGGAAACACAAACTAACACCAACCAGTGCTACCAAGAAGTGCCACCACGTGTGCTCTCCACGCCACCAATCACAGACCAGCATCTACTCCAAACATCAGTAACAAAAAGTGCGGCATCTTCCAGGAACAGCAAGGCAGGCTTCTTACTCCCGATGGACCAGCACAAATAAACCCAGCAAAAACAGCACTGCGTACTAGAAAAGAAACACAGGGCATGGTGAGAGAAGCCTTCACAGGTCACACGTCCTCACAGTTACTGAACTGGCCTTGGTGACCATGATATGTTTTTCCACTATCCAACCAACTTGCCATCTTTTAACTGTAATCTGTACTTTCCAAAATTTAGCAAAAGATCGCATTTTTAATGAAACATATAGTACAGGATCTTACCTTAAATTTAGGATAGTCATTCATGAGGATCGTCACAATCCCAATATAAGGAACAAATCTAAACAAACAAACAAAAAAACTGATGGTCACAGAACTTCCTAAGTAGCTGTTATCATGTTTGAACATTCTCAGTTCCGACAGAAAACTAATTTTCCGTTCATGAAGCCCATTCATGTATATACCGTCCTATTAGATTCTTTCAACAGCCCAGTGAGAGGGAAGTTAGGAATAGCGCCATTTTATAGATGAGGAAACAGAGGCTCATGCGCACAGCACGTGGCTTCTGTGCGGTGGAACCTAGACCAGATCTGAGGTCTGAGACCTCTAGTTGGTGACTCTAGTGCTACATGCTGACTCCGTGCTGGGGCTGGGTTGTCATCATAACCTTCAGGAAGCTGTCAATTCAGTTGGGGAGACAAGGCAAACACAGCCAGAACTTTACAAGGTACTTCATGCTAAGTGTTCAAAAGTGAATGTAAGAGCCCTAAGAGCCCTATTCCAGTACTTAAGATTTCCCTATCCTCTCATTTTTTTAAACACCTGTAACCTGGCTTTGGCTCTCTTAATCCTGAAACTTTCTGAACAGTTTAAATCGCCATATGGAGCAGACCAGTCTCAGCTCCCATCTTCCTGTACTCTGCAGCATTTGACTTTGATGACCACAAACTTGCCCTTGAAACCCCTTTCTCCTTCGTTTCTGTTAAGATTTGTGATGACCACAAATCTATTTCAACATCCTCCTCTGGCTGCTACATTCTGAGTCTTTAGTGGCTCTTTCCTCTTGCTCCTAAACTTTGTCTCCTTGAAGTAGGTAAAACCACCTGTTCAATAAGTTAACAGCACCTGATATTTTTCTTTTGAAGTCTTCATCACAATTTTAATTACATAATTAGTTGTATAACTAGCTGTATAGTATCTGTCTCTCTACTAGACTCTAAGCTCGATCGGGGCAAAAGTGATGCCAATCTTGTTCCCCACTGTTATCTTCACGGCCAAACACAACGCCTTGCCACAGAAGGCATCCGGCGACTACTGTCTGATTAATGCTTGAATGTCCAGCCTTCTTCTTTCCTCTTTCCTTTGGGGATCTCATGTTCTCCCAGGACTTTGATTCTCCTCTCAACACAAAAGACTCATCAACATCATAAGAATTCAGGGCAGAAGGTTAGCAGGGTGCCATCGATGTGCGAGGAGACGGCACTGGACTCGAGCTGACTGGGTGACACTGCCCTAGAGCTGTCCTGGAGAAGGGGGACTGGCTGAAGTGGAGACTGACCTTCGCATACTTTAAAATAGCCCAGACACTTTTATTCAGAACATCCACAACCTCTGCACCAGGCCAAAGGTGCACAAACAGAAACAACCGCCCACATAACACCGCCACCACCAAAGCCTTAGGCCAACTTGAAAAACAGAGGTTTGGTCTTTGGTACATTTCCCTTCCTTTTAAGAACTCCTCTTACTTCCTGTCTCCTGTCCTGCCCCTCTCCCTTCTGGCAGCATTACCCAGACCCATCTCTCTCTCTCTCTCCAACCCCTAACTCCCATTCCATAGGTTGATAGTTCCTAAAACCTAGACCTCCTTTGTCAGAATCACTTAGACAGCTTGTTAAAAATGCAGCTCGCTATACCTTCCCCAGATTTACTGACTCAGAGCATCTCTGGAAGGTGGGACCGAAATGATGTTTCTGCACGCAGAAATACAAGAAGCACAGTTCTAGCAAGTCAGATAGATGCATGGGGCCAGCATGTGGTGGCAAACATTATCCCCTCTCATGGCCCACACTAGTTTCAAGCCCTAGGGCCTCTGAGAGCTGAAAATAACAGTCACCACAGTACGGCACAGCTAAGGTCTAGGAGGGTGGATAGAGGCTCTTTCTCTCTCTGTTTTTTTCATTATTTAGAGAATATTAGTTTCTGTAGTCAAACCCATGTAGATAAGACCTTACATATTTAATGCAGTGTGTTACCCCTATACAAATGGAAAAAAATATGTTTAACGTTTCTAGACCAGTATGGCTATAGATGCTCTCTATATTTTTAATACACATGTTTTTCTTTTTAATGTAATAACTCTGCTATCTCTTTTGTCCCATTTATAGCACCTTCATAAAAGCAACAGCTTTCCATGAGCAACAGCTTAGGTAAATCATCTACTTTAAGAACATAAGGGCAAGTGCCTGGCAGTAAAATGCAGATGAAAAGCTATAAGAGCATCTGTGATTTCTATTAAGACCATATCGGGCTGCTAATTCTGATCTGACGACTTATCAGCAGCCATTCTCATGAGCAGAGACTTCTGTTACCTCCACGCAATAGCTATGCTCAAAGAACCACAACCTTTGGCTCCCAAGGATCACAAAGTCTGCTGTGAGTTATCCATGGAAACATTTCCCCCTAAGGCTGGTTTTTCCTTGCCATCGTGAGTGACAAGGAAGCACCTTGATCTTTAGGAGTAACACAAGCAAAACCTAAGGCTGCCAGGATGACAGGCAGTCCAAAGTCAAACAAAAGACCTAAATTATCTGTATCATCAGTTCCTTCTATGGACAGAGATAGCAAAGAATGCATAAAGCTGCTATCATCCGTTGTCCTAAATTCAAGTCAGTTGCATGAAATCTGCTAAAGCAGAGTTGATGATAAGCAGAAGGTTTAAAATAAGTAAAACAAATGCCAGCCACAAAGCCAACCCCAACACCAGGCTGTGCCAAGTTATCCTCTAGAAGGCAGAGTGTGGGTATAAGCACGCCTTGGGTACCCTGGGATTCAAGTGCTGCTGAGGAAGTAGCCTCAGGGGGAAGAACTACCTAATGGGGGAGAACAGTCTTGTCAGGTGTTAAAAGGGGTGTGTCTGGGAAGTTTGGACCCAGTAGCTAACTTACAAAGGAGCACTGTTTCTATCCCAAAATGACCTGTTTCAAGTTCAGTACAAAGTATGTTTTAAGAGCCTCATGAGTGAAACTGATTTCAGTCCAATTACTCTGCTCTTTCCTTGTTTTTATTTCTTTTCCATTATCAATATTTCTCTATTCCCTGATTTGCCAGCTTTCATTCTTTTCTCCTGTTGCTCTCGACTCTTCTTTGACTAACAGCTCCTCAAGTGTTTTTCAACTCCCTAAATTTAGAAAGAATCACCCCTATTAAATACTTAGTTGATTCAGTATTAGTTTCATTTTGTAAAACTGTTTTTATTACATGTTACAACATGAATGAACCTTGCACACCTTCTGCTACATGAAAAAAGCCACACATAAAAGACCACATATTGTAAGATTCCATTTATATAAAACGTCCAGAGCAGGCAATCCATGGAGGCAGAAAGTAGATTAGTGGTTGCCAGGGCCTGCAGGGAGAAGGGGATGGGGACTGACTGCAAATGAGAACAGAGTTTTCTTTCTGGGTTGTGGAAATGTTCTGGAATTAGATAGTGGTGATGGTTACACACCTTGTGAATATAATAAAGCCCAATGAATTATACACTTTAAAAAGGTGAATTTTATACCCCAATATGTGTGAATTACATTTCAAAATAATTTTTTTTACTTGTTTTATTTAAGGTATTAGGCCTCAGCGTAAAATTTTTTAGTGTGCAGCTGCTTGAAAAAAAATTTTTTTTAATGCATAAAGACATTTATACCAGTCACAGAATGATGTGTGGAAAAGTTCTGTTCTCAACATCAGGGCACAGTCTGACTTTGACTTATCAGTTTAGGGTTTTATAAACACAATTTCCACAAAAGGAGGCGCTATGCCCCATTGCGTCAATGTAAGCAGTGGTAAAATAAATGGAAAGTGAATTTGTACAGTTCAGATCCTGTGCCCGTGCTGTTCATGCTCAGATGTTTATACTTCATGGAGAGTTACCTAACTCAGAGAGTGCCAGACTATTACATTTTTTTATTAAAAGCCACATAAGGGTCTATTATCTTAAATTTTGGAATTTTAGAAATAACATTGTGTATCATTTGGGATTTTTCCAGTTCTTCAGAAAGACAAGTTACTTGAGTGAAAGACTGGCTCCTCCACCCTTTCATAGGACAAGGCATCTTTTACCCAAACAAGGAGCCAGCGTGAGCAGAGAGCTGCATTAAACACCTGAGAACCAAGATCCAGATAAAGGAACTCTGTTATACTGGTAGGAGTATAAATAAAACAGCATGGCAAAATTTGTCAGAAGCCTTAAAACAAGCATATGTTTCACCCAGTAATTTCACTTCTGCGAATTTACTGTGAAGGAATGACTGGGAAGAGGCACTGAGATACATGTAACAAGGATGCTCATTACAATATGGTTCACAATTTAAAGAATGGAAACAGTCAGAGCATTCAACAACAGGAGATTGTCTAAATAAAAATAGTCTATCCAGGGACCACCGGTTAGCTCAGGTGGTTACAGTGCAAGGTGCAGTGCTCAGAACACCAAGGTTCCTGGTTCAACTCCCACACGGGCCACTGAGATGTGCCCTCCACAACTAGACTGAAGCAACTACTTGACTTGGAGCTGATGGGTCCTAAAGAAACACGCTGTTCTCCAATTAAATTAAAAAAAAAAAAGTCTATCCATATGGTGGAATAGCATACACTTTTGAAAAAGACGATATGGAGATAAAACTTTTGATTTGCAAAGATACTAATAACTCTAGGGGGTGAAAAAAGGCTATAAACAGTGTGACCACTGTTTCCTTATACACAAAATGTGCTTATTGTGTATACACATATGTATGTATTAACATCTGCATCTTTATACCACCAAAAAGTTAAATATTTATGGGGGAGCAGAAGGAGAGAAGTGACTTGGCTTTTTGATGATTATTTCCCTTATGTTTCTACACGAATCTGTACATTTACGATTAAAGGAAAAACAAAAAGACTTGAAGAGATTGATGAGTGAATAATCATAACAGGTTGTTCTTAGGAACTGAGGGAGATGGGGACAATGACTTCTCAGAAGCACTGGTGATCTAATTTGGACGATAAAGGTATGTTTGGCTCTATCATAAGAAATGAAGTTCCCCTGAACTTCAAAATGCACAAAAAGCCCCAGCTCTGCAGGAGACAAAGCCATGGGTGCTTGTTCTGATCCGATCTCTCTGGCCCCAGACTGAGCATCTCTTGTGCTGTAACGGAGGCAGCTTTCACTCAGTTAAGCGCACACGCTTCTCTATGGGAACCAAGTTCCTCAATGTGGGGGTCTGTTGGCTAACAGCATCCCTCTGAATCCACATGGTATGTCCTAACTCAGAAAGAAGGAACAGATGTTCTGGCAGCGGTAGGAGTGCCTGCCATGTGGCGTCTACATAGTGAGAACCAGCAGCTACCCAGTTCGGAAGTGTCATGCCAGTAATCTCAGTGTGACGGTTAAGAAGGTGGGCTCCAGAGTCAGCCAGCCACTTGTTATCATTAGTGTGACCTTAGATAAGCAACCTAATCCATCTGTGTTTCCTCATCTGTAGAATGGAAACCTTAGGGTTGTTCTGAGGTTAAAATGAGGTAATAATTGTAAAGCACTTAGAATAAGCCTCTGGCACATAGTAAGCCCTAATAAATGTGAGTTATTGTTAATACTATTAATAACATGAAGGTAGTTATAATCGCATACTTCCTCGTGCCAAGAACTTACAATTCCTGTCCTCCACTGATCTGTTCTCCTGATACAATCTGAAATAAACAGGCTTAATATAACTTTAGTTTCATTCGACCTCAATAATGTCAAGATTAGAAATATAACAGTATGGAATAAATTAACATGATAAAATGAATATAGATGAATATTTTAAGTTGCTGACTCAGTAAATGCTTAAGAAATCTAAGTTTCATGAAGCAGTATTGATACTGCTCTGGGTCCCCAGAGCCTGGCACAGTACAGACAACAGAGTACACGAAAGGTGCCCAATAACATTTCTCGAATGAATTAAATAAACAAACGAATTTTTTTAAATGTTACTCCAATTCATCTCATCCCTAATATTCTATTCTTTTATTGCACCCCATGTCCTCCGCTCTGAAGCAGTATACCTGAAGTTTCAGATGTATTTTTAAGAAGCAGACTTTTTCAAAGGATACAACAAGATGAGTTGGTAGAACCTGGACTGAACCATTATATTCAGCGTGTATGATCAGAAAATACGATTGAGCGGGTCATGTTCAAGTGACATGAGAAACGCAGCAAGTGCTCCCCTCTGTACTTACCCCCTCGCTCTTCCCACAACATCTTTTTTCTCTAGCCAATGTTGTCCTTGTTTATAGAGGCCTCGATCATCAACCGCATTATTATCTCCTTTGGTCAAAAACTTGATGTGTCCATTTTGCCTTAACAGAGTAAGGGAAACCCAAGTCATCAAATACCTTCATGCCATTTGAAAGCACAAAATTTGCTTGTTAACCAAAAATTCCTGTGGAACTGTGGTATTTTATCCTTATTCCCAATATCAAAATATTTATTTAACTAAAAGGGTGTTCATAGCTGTGTAGCTTGTAACAGGGAGAAACGGGAAACAAGCTAAAAGTCTAACATTCAGGAGTTGAAATACTAGGTAAGCATTAAGTACAATGTTGTAGAAGAGTATTTAATGACACTGAAATAGCATACAAATTGTATTAAGTGAAGAAAAAATTACAAAATAGCATGTACAGTATAATTTCATTTTTACATTCAAATAAACACAAACCACCAATTTTCTGGAAATACAAAGAGCAAAGGAACACATTAAACTATCCCATAGGGTATAATCAGCAAAACGAAGACTCTGGGAAACTACAGAATAACCGAGTTTCTTCAACCAATAAATTGCAAGGAACAAAGAAAGTTGGAGAAGGAATTTACAGATTAAATAAAAGACACTATATAAATCCCTATTAACCAATTGCAACCAAGGAGCTTATTTGAATCTGGATTTAAACAAACTGTTAAAAAAAAAGTTATGACACAATTGGGAATTTGAACAAAGATTGCAAACTTAATAAAACAAAGGAACGATTATTCATTTTTTTAGGTATAGACATACTAACTGTAGTTGTATTTTTAAAAAGCTCATTTGATTATATCTCATAGCTATTTACTGAAATATTTACATATGACATGACATGACATCCAGGATTTGATTCAAAATAAAGGTAGGAGAGGGGAAAGAGTATGTAGTGCAGGTGGGGAAGAACTGGCCATAGATTGATAATTATTGGGGCCGGGTGATAGGTACATGGGAGTTTTTATTGTTTTATCTACTTTTATGCATGTTAGAAAGTCAACATATTTAAAAAAATAAAACAAAAGCAAAAATAACAGCATCTTACTTGAGCAGAAAATTATTGGTTTCATTCTACTAAAGAACCATGAGGTTTCTAATAATTTTAAACTGTAATTGAAAGCAAAGTACATTTTATAGTTGATAAAGACGGTCTTAAAATTATTTCAAGTGAGTTTGGGTTAACCAGTATACTAGAAAGAAAAAATTAGCATTACACTCCAGTTGATATCCATTAATATCCACTTAGATGCTAAGCCAGAAACTGGCTCACTAGACACTAAATCTGCAGATGAAACTAAATTTGGAGGTGATAAAAACACCAGAAACAGTTAGGTAGAAACAGTCACATTAAAAATGAGATTCCCATAAGAAAAAATGCAAATATATACACAGAAAAATAATCTGCAGTTGACACCTCAGAAGTGAAAGAATTTCTGAAAGATGCTGGAGGGTAAGCGGACAGGTGCCAAGAGGGTCTAGCTGCAGGAGTGAAAGTCAGGAGCAGCAGGAAGGAAGAGTCAATTCTACCATGAAAGGAACAACAACCCCACAGAGGCAAAAGAGTAAAATCAAATATGAAACAAGTCTGGAAAACGGGAAACTCCCCAGGAAAGAAAAGGGATGCTACCGGAGATCTGGGCTATTCCCGAAGACTTGATTTGCCAACAAATCAAATCAACCAATCAACCAACCAACCAAACATACCCCATTTCCCGCCTCTGTGATACAGTCAGGAGAGACCACTATCGCTGCTTGCAAAAGCATAGGTCTCCATCTAGTTAACAGTGAAACAAATATTCTCTGGTGGCAACCAGCTCCCGTGAGACCTGCTATTAACCCTCTCCAGCAGTTCCCAACTCTTAGGTTCCAAATACTGATTGCTGACACATTTATACAGGACTTTTCCCTTGCCGGTACAGGGACCAGATATTTAACATCCTATACCTCCAAGGAGCTCAATGCGTTTACAACTGAATTCAACCATCATACTGTGATGGTAGAAGGGAGCAAATAAGCGCTTTATAGATGGTTAAAGGTAAACTATATAGTATGTTTATAAAGCAAAAAGAGAATTTCCCAAAATTTAACATTCTCTCTGGGTGCTAGGATTATATGTGATTCTGTTTTCTGTATTTTGCAATTTTCTGCAAAATCATGTGTAAGAATACACATAATAATAAGAATGTTCATAAGATGGAGATTCAATATATGAAAAAAAGAGCTTTATATAATATTTACAAATTTACAAAGGTGCCTTACATACACAGGTGAAGAAGGAAAGGAGGAATGCGAACAAGAGAGGACAGTTGAACAATTCCTACCTCTAATCTTCTTAAAGCTCAGAATTTTCTTTCCTTTTTTTTTTTCTTTTCTGAATTTTTATAAGTTTATTTGAGCCAAACTGACAACTTATGCTGGGGAGGAAGATTTCAAATGCTCCCCAGAATTTTCTTTCTTACGAGAGACGCACTGACTACAAAACTTCATCTATTTTGGTTGTTATTTGGTCCCACATTTAAGAACAGTGTTAATACTATTAAATAAAATGATTATTACAACCAGGTATTTTAGTCTCTCCAAAAGAAAAGCAAAAAAGGAAACTGGAAACTTCAGAATATTAATAGGATATTATTTATACTGGCCTGCAATTGAAGGCATCTCAAGGGTCTAAAATAAATCACCAAAACTCCCAGATTGTAAGTACATACAGTATTCAGAATTAAAAATTATTTTTAAATGTAAGGAATCTGTAGTTAATATAACATGTCAATGAACCTGCCCTGAAACAAGATGAACCATTTTAAAATTTAAAAAAATCACTCGATTTCAAAGGCTCACACGTAAAAATGGATAATTTCTCTTCTCTACCTAAAGCAGGGCATGGGTTTAATTTGATTTTGTCTGATAAATTCAGGGGAAAGTGGGTTCTGCTATGTTCACAACAGGCAGTGCTGAGAATAAACAACACGAATCCACTTTAAGACTCTGGAAAATACTACCCATGCTGAATAAACCTTCACAATTCCAAAACAAATTTCTAAAAAAATGAAGTTATTCCTTCCTAGTCAATAATAAAACGTCATTTAAAAATCATCATCTTTCAAAATATATACTCAAGTCTGGAAAAAAAAGCAGTCAGATCTTTATTTCACCAACAAAGAAAGAACTCGTCTAAACGAGGGTGTTCATAAGGATTTTTATAAAAGCAGCAATTGGCAGTTGCCTCTTCTTTAGGTGGAGAAGATAAACTACTTTAGAGGGTGGTGAGGATAAAATCATATTTATTTAGGCTTTCTCATCCTCCTCAATCGACCCCACCATTTCACTCCAGGGAGCCTCCTTTCCCTTCATTTCTTTCTTTCCTTCCCTTCTGAACGTTTTCCTTAACTAGAAATACTACAGAGTTGGAAGGGCGGGGCTGAGGAATATGCAGCTGGACAGGAGAGCACAGACTTAGAGCTCAGAGATCTTACAATTCATTTTCCTGACCCTCTTTATATTACAGAGAGGGAAACTGAGGCCCAGAGAGGTGAAAGTTTTTGCTTATTGGTATGCCTCACCTCCACCCACAGGTGATTCTTAAGGTTTTTTTTTACATGTGTCCTTTCTAATTCTAAAATACAGCACTCGATATTTAAAAGAATAACTTAGATTTTAGAAACTGTCTTCGGGATTTGAACAAGCTGATAAATATATTCCTATTTAAAATGTCTGTTAGATTGCCTTAAAGATTTTTTTTTTTTAACAGATTAGGGCTACCTCCTGTATTATATCAGAAGATCCTATTTGGGATCACTCTTTGTGTCATTTTGGGGGATTATATACAGTGCTGATATATATAAGTACAATAACAGTATACTGCTGTTGTGGCGTTTGTCTACAATGCGGACAACTGTCACGGAAAGTGACAACTATGTCCTCCACCTCCTCAGAGGCTCAGGGACCACTGCGGAAGAGGGTGCTGTGTGAGATTGCAAGAGCTAATCACGATGGATAGAGCGTTAGGCAAAATGTTTCCTGCTGCTTGACGTGACCAATGCCTCTTAATCAAACTAGCCTCAGGACCAACAGTTCGCCCCGGGAGGGCGGGCCCATATCGCCTGAGAGGGACGTTCTTACACAGGTAAGGAGGCCCTTTAAGTTGTTCACTGCTTTGGAATACACAGGGTTACTGATCTAGTTGGGAAGGGGAAGGGAACCAAGAAAAACCTCCGGAGAAAATCCTGAGGGAAATATGAATAAATGAATTAATAAATAACGATTTAGTTTTCCAAATGTTCACCAAGCCTTCAGACATTCATAAAAATGGATTGGAAGAAGGACCTAGGAGTTTCCCATCCTTTCTTAATCTTTAGGCTATCAAAAGTAAATACTATAGACACTAAAACATAAAAATATTTTAAAACAGAAGACGCAGTTTGCACATACTTTTCATGAATCTTCAAGACTCGGTGAACTATAGGGATCTCTCTTCCTTCTATCCTAAAAACAACAATTTCTCCCACTCGTATGGGATCTTCAACTCGATTTGTTAGAAAGAGAAGATCTCCTCTATGAAATGCAGGTTCCATGCTGCCACTGGGAGGGAAAGAAGAATAGAATAGCAAAAAAAAAAAAAGTCTGAGATTAAATTTGCTTTCAAAATTAGATATTCAACAAAACAATCAAAAGTATCTCCTTCAGAGTAAACTCAGTACCTTAACCACATACACTGACATAAATGTGTACTGTTCTTAAAATACGGTTTCCTCATACTAATGAGTTACACTAAAGGCTTCTTTAGTTATTAGCATTCACTAACTAGTTTCATTTCAAGCATTACTATTCAAAGGAACTTAAATATTGAAAAGGGCAATGTTACTAATTCCTTAACCTTTCAAAATTTCAAGTGACGAATGAAATATAAAAGAATGAACTTTATAATCACTGCCCTTATTCTCACTTCATCTGAAAACGCTAAATATATTCAAATATTCAAATGAGGACTGGATCATCTTCTGCTGCCATTTAGAAAGATACAGACCAAGATGACCTTATGATTTCAACCCATTAAGAAGGAAGAACGGCTCATCAAGTCAAAGAACAGTCAGCCACAGAGATAATGCTTCTGTTATCAACTTATTTTAAAAAGAGAAAACAAGAAAGAAAACCAAGGACAAGGGCAGAGAGTTTTGCCTAAGAATTTCAGAAACAAGGAAAGGATTCAATGCCACCGTAATTATTGAGGACAAACTCCTCACCTCTCACCTGTTCTACCCTATGCCAAGGTCCTAAGATACTTGCGCTAATTAATGAACCTTTTCTTTCTATGAAGAAGCCTATCAATATTATTTTCAGAAACTCAAGCTCCAGTTTTCAATAACAATAAATTTAGTAAGAGGCAAATGGATAGACAGGGAATAGAATTCAAGACAGGAACACGACCATGTCCACACTGGTTCCCAAATTTTGCTGAACATTAGAATCTCCTGGAGAACATTTTTAAAAATCTCAGTGTCCAAGTCACATCTCAAACAATTTAAATCAGAATGTCTGGGGATGCAAGAAAGGTATCAGCATTTTGTAAAGATCCCAGGTGGTTCCAACAGCAAAATTTGGGGACCACTAGGAAGATGGATTTTCAGTACATTTTATTCTTAAAAGTTTTGTTAAGGTTCCTCATGGGGGCATTGAGTTCCCTTTTTCAGAAGGTGTTCAGACAAAAGACAGGACATGTGCTTGGTGAAATATTACAGTAGGTATTCTAGCTGTGTACTTTTCAAGATCTTCGATTGATTTTAAAAATCAGTGCCATCCTTTGTTCACCTGCTTCAAGATAAAACCTTGCTTGGAGAGTATATATAAATAAAACAGATAAAAGCTGAGTGGCTCTGGCTGAATGAGTCATCTTTATCGAGCACAAAGTGCTATCCTAAGTTTGTTTTTTATATCTTTAGAACAACTGTACAATATAGGTACTATTATTAGCCCAACTTTATAGATAAGGAGACTGAGACTTAGAAAGGTCTAAAGTTATTAAAAAAAAAAAAGATAAAGGTGAGATTTGAACCAAGGGAGTGTGACAGAACCCACTTTCACTGTGCTAAACTGTCTCTGAGCCACACTAGAATTTTAAACAGGGAGTATCATAATCATGTTCGCATTTAAATCACTTCAACAAAGAATTAAAAAACAATGAAAAACTGAAAAAGTAAAAAAGAAACATCACTGCAGAAGCTATAGAGTATATAAAAGACATTTAAATACTTATTGAATTAATGAGTAAACTGGAAAAGGTGAAGATGCAGATTGGGAGACCAGTCGTCCAGGTTCTTACTTATAATTGAACACTTGGCAACTATTAAAAGTGCTATTAGAAACATGAAAACAGTTTATTTGTGAAACGAGAAAATAAGCTTTCTTCTCTTTAAAAACTAAAAAACATGGACATGAGAATGATAAGGGGAAAAAATAGAGAAAAGGATGCATATATGGAATTACCTCAATTATGTAAGAAATAATACACATGAAAAAAGAGATAAAAATGTTAATAGTGATTATATCCCAGAACTATGGGTGGCTTAGTTTCATCTAGATTTTTGGGGGTATGTTTTCAACATTTTGTATAATGAAAATATACTAACATTTTTCCTCATTAAAACAGCCTTTTTTTTTTTCTAAAGATTTTTATTGGGGAATTGGGGGATGGGAACAGCCCCGGGGAATCGGGGGAAGGGGAACAGACAAGTTGTTGTCGTTTTGTTCTTCAGTCTAGTTGTGGAGGACGTTGCTTCACTGGTCCAAGTTGGCACCATCATTGCGCTCTTCCCGGGTGAGGCAGATCAGTCACTGGCTTCTGGAGGGCCGCTCACAGCGGCTGCTGGCTGCTCATGCTGGCTGCCGGCCACACACGGCAGCCCATGGCAACCCACTGCAACAGTGGTTGCAGCCTACGCCATTGCAGGCAACTCACGGCAGCCCAGCTCCAAGTTGAGCTGTTGTTCAGCATCTTAGCTGTAGAGGGCAGCGTCACTGGCCCTAATGTGGGATCCGAACCGGGGCTCTCTGGCATCCCAAGCCAGCTGTTAACCAACGTGCCACTCGGCTGGCTCTGAAACAGCATTTTTTTAAAGGTCACTAAAACAGCCCAGGCTGGAAATGATGAGGGGCTGAAATAGAACAACAGCAGGGAGGAAAACTATAAAAGGGTAGAATAGAGAGAAGAAAAAGAATTTGATGGCCAAATGGATATCACAGAAGGAGGGAGCAGGAATGACTGCTAGGTTTTCAACTTTGGCAACTGAGCAGATGGCAGTGACAGTCATAGAAATAGGAGGAAGAAGAATAAGCTTGTGGGAAAAGAAGGTGAGTTATTCACTTTTATAATGGAGTTTCAAGTGCCTGGTTAATATCCAGATGCAGGTGTTAATATCCAGATTTTCAGCCAGTGTAGGGTGAAAACAAGAGTCTAGACCAGGGAAGAAAGTTGGACAGGAAATAAAAGATTTAAGAATTCAGAATTAGATGGCAATTAAACATAGATAAAAGTGTGTAGTAGTGAGAGGACCATTAAAAAATAAACCAAGGGGGCCGGCCGTGTGGCGCGTTGGTTAGGAGTTGGCTTGGGACGCCAGCTCTGAGCAGCAGGGTCCTGGTTCGGATCCCACATGAGGGCCAGTGATGCTGTGTCCTCTACAGCTAAGATGGTGAACAACAGCTTGACCTGGAGCTGGGCTGCCGTGAGTCGCCAGTGACGGCATAGGCCGCAGCCTCTGCTGCAGTGGGCTGCCGTAAGTTACCCTGTGTGGCCGACAGCCAGTGTGAGCTGCCATGAGCCGCGGTGAGCGGCCATCCAGAGGCCGGCGAACGATCTGCCTCACCCAGGAAAAGCGCCAACATCCTCCACAACTAGAATGAAGAACAAAAGGACAGCAACTTGTCTGTTCCCCCGATTCCCCAGTGCTGTTCCCTTCCCCCAATTCCCCAATTAAAAAAATTAAAAAATAAATAAAGCAAGGGAAACTTTTTAAACATTAAATAAAATACTACTAAACTTAATACTATCTGATTAAACTATACTTTTAAATTTAAACATCAATGATAAATTTTATAAGAAATTATATATAAATAAATTAAATATTTTAAAACTGACTTCAGCTCTGTAAAGGGAAAAAAAATCAGTTTTGAATGTTCCCTGAAACTTAACAAAATACATAACAAAGTAGTTGTCTTCACTCCTAGTTAGTTGCTCCCCACAAGTCCTGAAAGTGTATTCTTAGCTGGCCTGAGTCTTCTGAGACATATTTGGTTCAGGTAAAAATTATATTCCTTGGAGTGACGTGAAACCCTGACCAGGTAAAACCTACCTGGCCACCCAGATCACATAAACTGCCTTGTTCTTTTTGTTTGTTTGTTTGTTTTAATTGGGGAATTGGAGGATGGGAACAGCACTGGGGAACTGGGGGAAGGGGAACAGACAAGTTGCTGTCTTTTTTGTTCTTCAGTCTAGTTGTGGAGGACGTTGCTTCACTGGTCCAAGTTGGCACCATCATTGCGCTCTTCCCGGGTGAGGCAGATCAGTCGCTGGCTTCTGGATGGCCGCTCAAGGCGGCTGCTGGCTACACACGGTAGCCCATGGCAACTCACTGCAGCAGGGGCTGCAGCCTACGCCATCACCGTTGACTCACGGCAACCCAACTCCAGGTCGAGCTGTTGTTGAGCATCTTAGCTGTAGAGGGCAGTGTCACTAGCCCTCGTATGTGGGATCTGAACCGGGGCCCTCTGGTGTCCCAAGCCAGTTCTTAACCAACGCGCCACTCGGCCGGCCCATAAACTGTCTTCTTCTAATGACTGCTCCGTCCAGTCTTAACCAGATTCTTTTCTAATATGACCTGGTCTCTTTTCATTTCTTTTTTTTATACTGCATTGGGAATCAGAAAAGTTCAGTAGATAAATAACTTCGCTACCAAATAACTTATCCAAACATCACTTTTTTTTTAAAAGATTTTTTTTATTGGGGAATTGGGGGAGGGGAACAGCGTTGGGGAATCAGGGGAAGGGGAACAAACAAGTTGCTGTCCTTTTGTTCTTCAGTCTAGTTGTAGAGGATGTCGCTTCACTGGCCCATGCTGGTATTATTATTGTGCTCTTCCCGGGAGAGGCAGTCACTGGCTGGCCATTGGACAGCCACTCACAGCAGGTCACAAAAGCTCACACTCACTGCGGGCCAGCCCCACTGCATTCTATTCTGTCGCAGGCAACTCATGGCAGCCCAGCTCCAGGTCGAGCTGTTGTTCACCATCTTAGCTGTAGAGGGCGCAGCATCACTGGCCCTCATGTGGGATCCGAACCGGGGC